TTCCAAATAGTTTAAAAGCTCCCCAGGTTTGCAAACTATGGCTCTTAATCCTTGCCAGAGATAGTGAAGGGCACCACCCTAGAACTTGTTAGAAATCCAGGTCAGATCCCACCGCTGACCCAGGAATCAGAATCTGCATTTGAACAAGACCCACCTCGTGATTCTTAAGCTTGTTAAAGGTTGAGAAGCTCAGCTCTGCGGTGCTGCCTGATCATTCATTCCACAAATATTTGCTGGATTTTCTCCATATCAGGCCAGGGGTTGGGATGGTCAACGGCCAAAGTCCCGGACTTTGAGAAGCTCACCGAACCATCAGTCAGTCCCTTGCTTAAAAACCTGTCATTGGCTCCCATGCTTTCCAATTATTCCAGACTTCTGCACCTGACCTGCATGGCCCATTGGGATGGGCCATGCTTCATCCTTGTCACCAACTTTACTGTCTAGCACCTGCCCTGGGAACCCAGTTGGACCACTTGCCACTTCTCACGGTTAGCTGGTGCTTGCCTGCCTACACAGCTCTCAGCCCAGGCCACGCTTTACCCACCTCTGCCTGGAAACACCCAGGAGAAATCCTCTGAGATCCATCACACAAGTCATCCGCTTCTTGAAATTATCCCATATCTTCCCTACTCAGATGAAAGACAGGAATCCCCGGGGCGCCTAGTGGCTCACTCAGTTAAGCATCTGCCTTCGGCTCAGGTCATGACTGGGATCGAGTCCCATATTGCGCTCCATGCTCAGTGGGGAGCCTGCTTCTCCCTCTCCCTCTGCTGCCCCCCCATTCTCGTTCTCTCTCTCAAATAAATAAAATCTTAAAAAAAAAAAAAGATAGGAATTCCCACAACTCTTTGTTCTTCCCTCTCTGGTGGGCTTTATCCCATTCTGCTCAGTCTTAAAGCCAGCACACCTGCCATAGCTACCCCAGTAGAGATCATGATTCTCAGTTTGTCCAGTAGCAATAAGCTAATAGCTGGCACATCATCAAATCTCTAAGTAAGAATAATAATAATAAATGTATTGATAAAATCATGGATGAATGCAGTAAGTGAGAAATTCATTAATCTCTCTCATTTCCCATTTCAAGGTCGTTTAAATATGAATTTAAGCAGAATACTAATGGGCTGCCTCTCAAGCCCTAAAGAGAAACAATCTCTAAATTAAATAATATTTTGTGTTTTCTATATTCAAATAATAATCAAAGACTGAACATACTGAAGATGAATTTTGTGCACAGCCAACTACCTTTCTTTAGTTGGGCATTTAACTTCACAAAATGCAACATAAACTTCGGAAACACTTCAGATCTGTATTATAATCAATTAAGGAACTGGGAAAGGAAAGAGACAGATGAAGAGAAAGATAGGAGGTAGACCTAGAAATATGGCAAGGGGGACGGATCTATACGACATAACCAGCTGCTCTAAAAGTAAAAATACAATACTCTGGGTCTGTTTTTTAAGAGGATTAAAGACTAGCTAGAATGCCTGTTTCAACCCCCTGCAAACTTTGGAAATTCTACCTTTTCAACATATAATCTTATTTTCATTTGAAGAAAAACTGCAGGTCTGGAGTTGGGATGTCATGAGGGAGAGGAGGAGCCCACTTTCAAGTAGCACCTTCCCCCTTTGGCAGTCTACTGGGACGCAGTGGCTTGAGATTTTGATAGGCATGTTGCGTTTTCGCAATTACAGAGTTGGTCTCAGTCAAGGCGTTGCATCTGAACACACCCAAACAGAGATGTTTGGGCAAACAGACCCTAAACCGCCCGACCACCGTGGGCTCTCTAGATTACACCGGTGCTTCGGTGACATACCGCACAGAACTGAGGTGACTGACCATCCTGCGCATCTCCAGGGCCATGCTGGCACCTGCAGGGGCGCGCGGATTGTCCGTAGATCCCGGGCAGGGTTGGGTGGAAATTCGGAGCAAATCCACGGGAGTTATCCCCTTCTCCCAGTCTTCTGGCCAGAGAAGAGGGGAAGAGGGTCCCTGTCCTTGTGCCTGGGACACGCTCCGGGGCCCTTATTGGCACTGACCCCCACTCCTCGGGTGGTTCTTGAATCTGGGGGCTTTCGGTTCCCCAGGCAATGCACCCGCGGGGGCTCCCGGTCCGGAACGCGCAGGGGACCTGGGGAGTGGGGAGAGCCCACTGACCTGGGTGCGGGGCTCCTCTCCGGGCGGCTCAGGTGCGCGGGACGCTCCCGTGTCCCTCCCACCTCCGAACATGAGAGCCGGGAAACGAGCTGCAGGCCACTGACCCACCGACCAACTGACCGACCAACCAGCGGACGGAGCGGCAGCGGCCGGGTCTGGAGCCCACGTGACGGGGGCGGGACCCACGGGAGGCTCGTCCCGGAGCCCAAGCTTGCTCCCACCCTCCTTCCCCTGGGACCGCCCCTCAACTCCCCTTCCTCTCGGGCAGCGCGGCTACCCGCAGGGACCCGTCTGCCACCGATTCCCTCTTCTCCGGGACCGGCCTAGTCAACCCCGCCCCTTCGAACCTGCCTTCGCCGCGTCCGCCCAGCCGCGGCCCCACCCCCTGGAACGCGTTCAGAGCCCACAGGCCGCGCCTCCCGGAGGCCACGCCCCCAGGGAGCCCCGCCCCGCCCCGCTCCTGTCACCTCCCCCGCCTGCACCCTTCCGGCACGGGGGAGACCGACGGGCGGGTCTCGGCGGTAGTGCTGCCAGTCCCCTGGGCTTCTCCAGCCTTTCAGCATCATTCCCCGGCCGTAGGAAATGAAAACGAGGAAGCAGAAAAGCAATTTGTATCGAGAATTGCAAAGAGAGAGAAGCCACAGAAAGACCGATTAGAGGCGCACTCAGAGCAGCAACCCATTGGGTATTCGGACTCCCCGGACCCGTGCGATGCAGTCCAAATTGAGGTTGGCCCGGTCTCTGAACAACCCGTTTGGAAGGCTCAGAGTCACTGTAGAGTCTGGCCGCGCTTGAACCCCGCGACCTGGGGTGGAGGTCCCCCTAGTGGTGAGCCCCAACCAAAGACACTTGCTTTGGGTCTTGTGAACAGCTAAGGACGAGAAGCACTTCCTTATGCTCAGCACGAAGGCGGGGTTCCACAGACCCGAGAAAAGCTTTGGCACCTCAGACCACAGGAATGGATTCTAGAATCAGGGCAGGACTGGGCCCTGGAGACTCAGTCCAACACCTTCCCCAGCGTATGGCCTGAATCCCCTTTGGCTGTAGTGCTAGGTTGTTGCCTTGGCTAGGCCTCCAGGGACTGGTTGCTCAGTTCAGCTGATTAAAATCCCTGTGGGCAGCAGATGGCATGGACACCGCAGACTCTGGCACAGTCCCCAGCTCTGGCAGGAGTCACGACAGCCCGGGCCTCAGTTTTAATCTACATTTTTCTACAGGCTGGACAAACTCCACAAGACACATCTTTTTTTCAAATTACCTTGGTGGTCTGAAATTACCAGTGTGCCAGGAAGACTTTTACATGTGAACAGAACTTAAGCCACCCCGGCAAATATGAGACTCTGGTCACTGCAGGAACGTGGCCAGAAGCAGACCAAAGGCAAAGCCAGCAGAGGAAGGCTGGGGCCCATGAGAGTTGTGTTACAGCAGGACACCCTGCAGTTCTCTTTCACTTCCTTAAAATAGCAGCAGAGGCTTTTGTAGACCTAGGCGCTACTCAGTTCACATGAGTTCATGGGTGTTTCCAAATCCCACATGTTACTGCCCCGGTGGACACACTGTCCTAACCTCAGCCCCTAGAAAATGCAAATCTGTTCTTAGAACGATACAACTACTTCTTTTTTAATTACCTTAAAAAATGGTGTTAAGTCACTGGCTCTCAAGTTTATTCACACTTTGGAACCATTTGGGGGGAGGAGGCTTAAAATATCTGCTGTCTGGGTCCTGCCTCCCGAGGTTGTGATTTAAAGATCTGGGAATATGGCCTGGTATTGAGATCTTTAAAAGCTCCTCAGGTGATTCTTACGCACAGTCAAGTTTACGAACCACTGCCATAGGTCATAGGGATTTTCATCCTGACTAAGATCTGACAAGAGACCCCAGAGCTGAACAGTTCACCAGAAAGAAGCCGGAGACCATGTTTGTGGGCCCACATGCTGTCCTGCCCTGGCTCCCCGGAAACAAAGTGGCCCATTTAACAGGGAGACGATGTCTTGACCTAAAAGAGTGATTCTAGCTGCAGGAATTTAATTTGTTAGTGGCAGGGGCACCCTTTAGAACTGTCAAATCCAAGTGTATCACAGATGAAAGGCAACCCTCCTCTTGGCCTCTAAAGGAATTCTGCGTGCGGGACCCACACATAATTCCACTCACCGATAATCCCACTCCACCCTCCTCCTGAGGCAGTCCCCTGCCTTATTCCCGTGAAATAGGTAATGGTATTTTACCCCCGGGGTAGATGATGTCTGTAAACCCATGGAGTGGGGCCCATCACCATGTTTATGTACCCATACCTGCCTCCTTCCACAACAGATCGGGGCTGTGTAGCTATTAGAACTGTGGGTAATTGTGCTGTATACATGGGGTGAGTAATTCCATTCTGCCAAAGCTCTACTCAAATGCTCTGGGGGAAAAACGTCTCTTCACCGCCCATGGTCCCACCCTGAGCTTGGCAGAGTTGGCAAAACAGCTGCAAGCACACAAAACAAACCCTCTCATGTGACTAACCTGGAAAGGCAGAGGCCTCAGCACATGACACAGACTGGCACCACAGCCTGTGCTGGTGACCCACACTGGGCTGAACTGGACAAACGTGTGGGAAAGATTTGAAGAAGCCCCTCTGCACAAGCACAGCTGTCCTCTGTCACCTGTGCCACTTGGCAGGCCTGCTGTGACAGGGAGTCACTGGCCCGCTACCTGGCTTCCATCCAGATTCCAGAAGCTTTCCCTCCCCAGGGCCTCAGTGTGCTGGGGAGCTTCACAGCAAGTCCAATCTCAGGCAACACTTCCTGCAAGCCCGGCTGGCTCATTATCGCGCGTACGCAAATCTAACCTGATGAGGCTTATTTGCTTAGTGTCGGTTTTATTGTGTTTCCAGCAAGGAAAGAGACACGGGAAGGTAGGACAAGATGAGGCTGCAGGTGGGGTCCTCACCCTTAGGCTGTAGGCTGGTTTTCTGGAGGAAGTAGCTTTTGAAAGTCTTACGGAAAGGTCTTCTGCAGACATGAAAACCAGCCGCAGGGGACAGACCATGATTTTTTAGGATGAGACGCTGAACATACGTATTGCTTATAAAAGGCTGGGTGAACACACATACGTATTTGATGCTCCCTTGGGCAATGGAAAGACTATGGGATTTGCGGTATTTTCTAGACCTATTTTCATTTTGAGGCTGTGTTCCTCTGAATGGCTCACCTAAACTTCTGTCATCTCTAAAATGGCAATTATAAAGACCTCTTCTGCATATCTCACAGGATGGCATGAGAATTAAATGATGTACATAGGAGCAAACACTTTGTAACTGCCAAGTGGTATTTAAACGTGAGTGGCTTTATTTTCCTCTTGTATCTCCTCAGCTTGGTGAAGGGGCAGAGCTGGGGGACACAGAGATTAAACATCAATAAGAAATTGTACTTTAGTTGGGCAGTGAAAAACGGAAGAATACCAATGGGCATTTAAGAAAGAGGAAAGAGCATCAGGAAAGGTCAGGACAGGAGCCAGGAGTATTAGGAGGTGGGCTACATTGCTAACTGTTGGCAGGGGAGGGGGATGGAGGGGTGGGGGTAAAGGAAAGGCAGGCCGTAAGCTGGATCAGCATGTGCAAGGCCTTGAGAGCCAGGAGGTTTGGATGGGTGATGGAAGTTGAAAATTTCCGAATGATAGACTCTCATCTACGCTCTTGGAAGATAACTCAGGCCGTAACATCCAGGGGAAGGATGCATATGCAAGCCCAGTTCTAGTCCCTATCCCTGTATGTGATCAGAGGGATACAGTATTGCAAAGGGGCTGTGGCCTCAGTGTCCCAGGGAGCAGCAACCACAGCCTTAGTGCTCTCCCTCCTTGCTGTACTGCACTACTCCAGAGGCTGTTTTCTCTTTGTCTGGAGTTTGTAAATGATCTGGTTTCCATCATTCCAGGCATAGAGCTGCTTATCTCTGGGGTTGTAATGGATCACGGAATGACTTCTTGGCCGTCTGGGGAAGAACAGTTTGGGCAGATCGTCCTCACTGATATTGCCCAGTGGATCATAGACACAGGTGATGCGGTGAGGGCCATAGCCGCCAGAACTATAGACCACATAGAGAACCCCACACAAAACGAAGGAGGCTTCGGCATCCTGGCTCCTGCATGGAGTGTCCCATGAGTGTTCCACTCCCAGTGTGCCAGGTTCAATTTTTGTGAGAACCAAATGGCCATAGACGCCTGGCCCTGAGTGGATGGCCCAGAGCCCATGCTCATCCACAGCCAGGTCAATGTATGTCAACGGGGAGTGCTGGTAGACCAGTGCTCGGCCTGCCCCTCCTGGGAGCAGCATCCGATCTTCCACAGCCCTCTTCTGTAGATTATATTTGATGATCTCATTGAGAGTCCCTTGGTTGTGAAAAAACAGAAAACCTCTGTGGATCACTTGGCCTGTTCCCTGCCAGGAATGTGTTAGGATTAGCTTCCGCGGGGCTGGCTTGGTGCTATCCTCCATGAATGCCCGCATGTTTGCAAATTCCCAAACAGTTTTGTTTCTGGATCCAACTAGGAAATAAACCTTTTGGGAATTGCTGACAGCATCTTTCATCCAAGAGCCATGTGTGTCCATAGTCTTCTTCACTATTTTCAGAGACTTTACGCCCATCAACATGTTGTCACAGCCTGGCCAAACAGGAGAAAAAGGAGAGGTACTTTATAGACATGAGATGTCTGCTTTTCTTACAGATTACTTTTGTATTTTCTGTTTATTGAAGCACAGTTGACATACAATGTTACATTAGTTTCACATGTACAACACAGTGATTCAACTTCTCTCTCTGTTATGCTTGCTCACAAGGGCAGCTACCGTCTGTCACCATACAACGCTATGACAATGCCTTTGATTATATTCCCTATACTGTGCCTTTTACCCATATTTGTTCATTTTGTAACTGGAAGCCTGTACCTCCCACTCGCCTTCACCCATTTTGCTCCCCCAAAACAACGACTAGTTTGTTCTCTGTATTAATGGGTCTGTTTCTGCCTTTTTTTTTAGATTCCACATATAAGCGAAATCATATGGCATCTTTCTCTGTCTCACTTATTTCACTTAGCATAATACCCCCTAGGTCTATCCATGTTGTCACAAATGGCAAGATTGCATTCTTTATGGCAGAGTAATATTCCATATACACCACACCTTCCTTATCTGCTCATCTGATGGACACTTAAGTTGCCTATTAGTTTTGGCTCTTGTAAATAATGGTGCAATAAACAAAGGGATGCATGTATCGTTTCAAATTTAGTATTTTTGTTTTCTTTGGATTAAATACCCAGTAGTGGAACTACTGGATCATCAGGTAGTTCTATTTTTGATTTTTTGAGGAACCTCCTTACTGTTTTCCCCAGCGGCTACAACAATTTACATTCCCACTCATAGCAGACAGGGTTTCCTTTATACTCCACAACCTTGCCAACAGTTGTTATTTCTTTCTTTTTGATAGTAGCCATTCTGACCGGTATGAGGTGATATCTCTTTGTGGTTTTGATTTGCATTTCCCTGATAAGTGATGTTGAGCATCTTCTCATGTGTCTGTTCTCACAGATTACTTTTTTTCCTTCAGTGTCTAGAATAAAGTTATCACACATAGATCAATCACAGTTTATGGTATGGTTTAAAAAATCAAAGAATTAAATGAATAAATGGGTTTCTGTTAAGGGAGCTGCTGTCCAATTATAAGAGTCAACGTTTTATTCAAGTCAGGATATAAACAGCTATTTGCTGGGTCAGAGACCCTGTTCACCTCCTTGGGGTTGACACAGTGAGAATCATTTAGGGATGAGGCTGCCTGATTCAATTCCATTTGCCAAGCTTTTACCAAGTATCTACTGTGGACTTAGATTACAATGCTCCCAGAACCATGCTAACTAAGTATTAAGGATTAAAAATATAATATCAACCCTAAGCTTGAGGAGATCACCTTCTAGTTAAGGATTCTGGCCCTTAATAATCCTATTAGAACATTATAGGAACTCCACTCATCCATTCATTTACTTATTCATGAATGCACGCACGTAGTCAGCAGACACTGGATACCTACAAAAGGTGAGATACTGAGATAGGTGTTATAAACTGGGGTGCAAAGGTTTTGAGGTGCAATGATAAATTAGGAATGGTTCTTGCTTTATAGGTACCTGACTCACTACAATAGAGAGCTTAAAGTGGATTTTTTAGAAAAGGACAGAGAATGGTGATGTCATTTGAGGAAGGGGATAATCTACATTTGAACTGACCCTTAATGGGTACCATTCTGAGATGGTTGGGAATAACATTCTTCACAATTCACAAAACCACATCCACGACTTGTGTTAGTAAAGTAGTGCAGAATTTAAACCAATATAAACTAAATATTTGCTGTTGCCTCAAACTAGATGCATAAAACAAAGCAGTGGATTGAAACCAGCTCTGTGCCTGGAGCATTGAGGGTGGGGTTAAGGAATATGGATTCTATTCTATAGGCAGGGAGGGAGCTACTGAAGTTTTTGAGCAAGAGTGAATCATGGTCAAGAGTAAGCTGGCAGTTGTGTGTATGACGGATACATGGGAGAGAAACCAAAATCAGGGAAACCAAGTAGGAGAGTATTTCTATAATCCAAACAGGATCATAAGGGTCTAAAATAGGTGGAGGAAGATGAAGTGGGAAAAAAAGGGATTTACATTTCTCCAGCTCCTCTACCTTCATGCAAAAGCCCTCCCTTCTTTACATCTCATGCTATCAACTCCTTTAGTCTAAATCACTGATAGCCCTCTGGGACACTACCCCATGTGCATCAAGAGCCTGAGCACCTCAACCTCTTCAACTCCACAGCACCTTGCTTTCAACCTCCTCTAGCAACCCCCTCCCATGCCCATACTCTGGATCCCCGCCTCCACCCACCCCCTAGAACGGTTCCCTATTAGAAATGTAAAACTCTACTATCCTAGCCTCTGCGATAATTCCTTACCCTTCCATTTCTCACTTCTTTGTTCTCACGGACTCAGCTCTTCCATTTCCTCATGCCCTCCAGTCCCTTAACCTCTGCTTTCTCCCAGTCTCTTCACTTCCTTTCCTATCTAGGTGACATCACTAGTCTCTCACCAGTACCCTCACCCCCCACAGCCCCTTGTTATTCCACAACACCCGCTCTACAAAAATCCCCGATCCTGCATGAGTTCAAACATCTGGCTCCGTCCCAGAGAGTTGTGTGCAGAATATCTCACAAACGTGCCATTACACATAAGGGGTCTCCAACCTCAGCTGAGCCCTAAGTACCATACTGCTCTCTCCATGGTTAGCCCCCAGTCTGCTCCCCCTCAACCATATACATACACACTACCCCATCAGTCCTTTTACTAACAGTAGATTAACTCCTTTGAAAAAATAAACACCATTAGACATGAAGTCCCTCCACTTCCTGTCCCTCCTATAAATTTTCTTAAGGTGTTCCTACCTGGCTACCCTCCCACACATCTTAGAAGAGGCCACATCATTCCTCCTGTCCAAGACTAATACATTCACTTGTGCTCTGATCTCACCCCTTCCTGACTTCTTCTTGACTTCCTAGATGAATTGCCACCTTTCTGTTATCTCTAATTTCTCCTTCGCTGCTAGTTCCTTAGCTTGTAAACACCTTGCCTACATTCAAAAATAATTCTCCCTCGATTAGGCACCACTCTCTAGTTACTTCACTCTATCATTTTATATAGTTTCTCCTCCAGAATAGTTTATGGGTCTACTTCTTTCTCATCTTTCACTTCACAGTAACTTCTTTCTCATCGTTCACTTCACAATAGCTTCACAGAAACTACCCTTCATCACTTCCTAACTGAAAACTCAGACCTTTATATTCACATCTTACTTCATCTTTCCACATCATGACAGTATTGACCAATTCCTCTTTCTTGGAGATTCCATTCCCCTTGGTCTTTGGGTCACTACTGTCTCTGGGCATGCCTCCTTCTCGTTTCTTCTTGGCTTACGGCAGAGACAGTGACTGTGTTCACCAAATGCCATTCCATTTCCTCCATATTCCTTCCATTCCATATTTGCAGCTTTCTTTGTAGTTAGGCTGCACCGACTGACCTGTCTTCTGTTCAGTGGGATGTGGACAGAAGTGGTGGAAGCCATTGACATCTGGCCCTTAAATAAGCTATCTTCCAGATGACCTTAGTGTCTCGGAATTCTCGTGGTGTCCAAGTTAAAGAGGGATAGGGGCCAGGATGAAATTAGTTCTAATGGTCATTTCAGGAAAGGTGGGTCATCAGCTCTAATGGTGAACTTGTTGTGGGGACTGCCCCGTTAGACAGTCTGTTGTGAGGTGCAGTGTCATGGAGGTGGGGAGGAATGGCTTACTAGAAGCATGAGGAATCCTGTGGGTATCTCTCAAATCCTGCCAAGGTCTGTATGGAAATGGTATGGGCCTCCCTCATTGACTGCTGGAATGTGTGGTGGTGGGATGCCAAGTGTATAACACTCTCTCCAGGAGCACTGAGCTCTCTGCGGGTTTCCCTCAAGTCTTTGCAAAGGCTTTGATATAAGAAGCTGGCTGGGCCAGTGGGCTGTCATTTTCTTCTTAATAAATGCCTGGGTTCTCCAGGCCAACTGGGGACTCTCTAGAGTCAGAGGGCATGAAACAGGATGAAGGGAGAGAAACTGGACACGAGGAGGAGAGGTGCACAGCCAGAGACATCCCAGAGGTTCTCAGGTAAACAAGCATTGTAGCAAACTGCTTGTTAGCGCCAGCTATTTGGAGAGCAACTCTATCACAGTCCCCTAATCAATTCATCATCCACTCTTATCATACCTTTTCTTCCCTCCTCAAGCCTCCATCATACCCTCCTCACTCTTGTATGAAGATCTTGCCTCTTATTCACTGAGGAAACAGAAGCCAGCCGAGAAGTGCATCATCTCCTGCCTGCCTTGCTGTACCAGTTTCCCTCAGGGTGGCCACACTTGAGTCCTGGACTCCTGTGCTGCGTTCCCCACAGCCGTAGCCGTAGTGATCTTTTAAGAATGTCAGTCAGATTATGTCACAGGTCTGCTCAAAACTCACCCTGACTTCCCATCTCACTCAGAGTAGAGCTCAAGTCTTTACCTCCCAGGCCATGTGAGCTGTTCCCGCACTGCCCCTCTGGTCTCTCCGACAATACTCCCACCTGCTGCATTTCATTCAGTCACACTTGCTTGTCTGCTATTCCGCACATTGTGCCAAGCACCCTCCTGCCTCAGGAGTTTGTCACGTTTTTGATCCCTCTGCTTGGGAACCTTCTTTCTAAGATATGTACACGGGTGGTGTCGTCTCTCGCTTCCATTACGCCCATTCTCAGATATTCCCTCATCATTAAGGCCTTTTTTGACCACCCTGTAAAAAATGGCAACCCTCTTCTCCAGCTCCCTATAACCCCCTTACCCTAGTTCATTTTTCTCCAAAGTGCTTATTATCTGCTCTCTGACATATTATAAATGCCTCTGTTAACATATTTATTGATTGATTCCCCTCAATGGAATGTAAATGCCATGACAGCATGAGCTTTTCTTATTAGTTTCATTCACTGCTGTATGTCTTGCCCCTAAGATAGCAACTGGCACATAGTAGGCCAGTATTTACTAAATGAATGAATGAATGAGTTTTCTAACCACCAA